GGTCTTGTATCTAAGACCAGTCATAGAATTGTGGGATTTCAGAGCCGTTAGAGATCCCAGATACCATCTCGTCATGTGGCGGATTAAGTAACTGGTCTGTAAGCGAGGAAGGGAGGCGACAGTCAGGAAGAGGGCCATATGGGGGTGGTAAGTGACACGTGCAACCTCTCCACCCGCCCCCACCCGGTCACCACACTTCCTGGACCTCGTAATTCAGGAAGGCAGTCTGTCTGACCAGAAGCCAGGAAGTCCGGCGGGCCCACTCCCATCCCGGTGGCGTGGCGGCTGGGCGGTATTCTCAGGCTGCCGGCACCGCTCTCCCGGTCGGCATGTCAGTCAAGTTCTGGCTGCTCACTTCAGTTCTAGAATCTGCCACATTCAGAGTCTGGTTCTTAGTTGTTTCTGCTTTCCTCATATTTTATATCACTGGGACACCCTCAGGGCACCTCAGGTTCCAGTGGAGCTGTCCCAGACCCAGCATCTGAAAAGAGATAAAGATATATTTTTGTAATTCTTTTTAAGATACTTTTTCCATTTACTTTATTGTTTTTGAAATGGAAAATATTAAGTTGAATATTTTAATGCAAATCTATTTCTGACTCCAATTATGTGATACTTAAAAATTTTTATATTTTTAAAAATCAAATAATCAGTGATACATTTAATAGGGTAAGCATTACAAAAATTATATGTGTGTGTGTGTTTATATATATATATATATATATATATTTTTTTTTTGGAGACAGAATTTTGCTCTGTTGACCAGGCTGGACTGCAATGGTGTGATCTCAGCTCACTGTAACCTCTGCCTCCCAGGTTCAAGCGATTCTTCTGCCTCAGCCTCCTGAGTAACTGTGACTACAGGCATGCACGACCACGCCTGGCTAAATTTTTTTGTATTTTTAGTAGAGACGAGGTTTCACCATGTCAGTCAGGCGGGTCTTGGACTCTTGACCTCAAAGGATTCGCCTGCCTCGGCCTCCCAGAGTGTCGGGATTATAGGTGCGAGCCACTGCGCCTGGTTTACAGAAGTAGTTTTTATCTTAAAATAAATTGAACGAGGCCAAAATTTCACCTGCAGTTAACCACAAGTGCGATGTATTGATGCCACCGAATCCACGCCTCTGTCTATTGTCGTTTCTCTAATATTCTTTCTGTATACACAAAATACATCCTAATCATGACTCAGGATAGATCAACTGCTTGGAGAGTGATAGAGATTGATGACAAGGAATAAAGGATTTTCTGTCTGGAGAGAAACATAGACGGATGAGCTTGAGTTTGCTGGCAGTCCTCTTCACAGCACAAGTGGGGAGCAGCATCAGAACTGGACTCAGAGACCAGGGTTCTTATCTCAGCTTTGCCACCATTTCTCCATTAAACTGGAGATCTGGGCAAGTCACTTCCCTCTCAGCTACCTCATCTCCAGCCTTAGAAAACCAGCCGAGCTGAGCCTTGCTGGATAAGGACGGCCCTGGGATTGAAGGAGGAGCCCTGGTGCTGTGCCCTGTGCCATAGTGAATTGCGGGGTGGCGGCTCTGAGGTGCCAGTGCAGGTCACCCACCGTGATGTGCAGGGGAGGAGACCGTGCTTCTGAGTAGGGCAGCCCTGCAGCTGGCCACCCATAGCCTTTCTGTCCTGTTGTGTGAGATCTTGCCCATGTTATGAGCGTCCAAAAATCATGACCCAGTCCCTCTAGTTTTGCCTTCCACGTTGTCCTACTCACTGATTAAATAGCCTTTCTTTGGTATACACTTTTGAAACTTCCCTGTTCAAATGAGACCCCTCCCAAGGGGGTCCGCGTGAGCGGAGAAAATACTTTCTTTCCACCTCTGGTTGGCGGTCTGTTCTCATGTGTTCCCGGACTTCAATTTCAGCCTGATTGTGGGTATTTACGTTAAGCAGTCAGCCTGGACTTCCTCGACACGGCAGTACTTCAGGGAATCTAGTTGTAGGTCGAATGTCTGGGGTTTCAAAGGGTGTAAGCTTGAGTCTCTGACCTGAACGCTGGAGACTAAAGGTTGTCACTGAAAACTGCCGTCTTTGTGGAGGGTGGACAGGGAGAGGGTATTTAGTAAATGGGGCTTTCTCCTAATGTGGTTAAAGGAGACCAGCGGCTCCAATTCAATTCAAAGGCAACTCAGTGAGGGCCCAGTAAGGGTCTATTGCCGCATTCATCACTGGAGTCTCCTGCTTTTGGCTGAAAGTCTATCCGCTCCCAGGAGAGTATTAATTGAGCACTTACTATCTGACCAGCCCTGTGCCAAGTGCTGTGTGGGATCTAGTGGTGGTGGTGAGAAGCGCCTAATGTACAGAAGACTACGCCATGTAGATGCTGGTGGCCTTCAGCTGTGTAAGCCTCATCCAGACAGAGGGTTCCTGCAGCTGGGCCTGACTGGTCCACCAGCAAGAAGGGGCTGATATGGTTTTGCTGTCACAGTCCTGGTGCCCGAAACCCCTGGAATGAGCTGGCTTTTTGCCCTTAGCACTCTCGTTCCCCAGCTCAGGCTGGAACCCTGTCCTAAACCCTGCTCCTCTTAACTGGGATTCGGACAGCCAGTCTCTTGCCACCTTCTTGCCACTGCTGTCTGTATCTTCATCTGGGGGTCTGCTCTCATCTGGATGGCCATCAGCTTCCACCTAGCCCCTGTCCCAGCCCTGCAAACAAGCAAGACCAATGCAGACTCATCACTGTCAGCATTTCCCCCACATCCCTCGATCTGCTGCCATCTCTGTGTTTCCCCCTCAGGGAGGGACAGCTTCTCCACCCAGGCACCCAGCTAGAAATCTGAGAATCATCTGAAATCATTTCCTCTCTCTCACCACCATCGTCCAAATACAGTTCATTTGTGATCTCTCAAATCTACCAGTTGCTCTCCATTCCCAGTTACAACCTTCGTTCAACCCACCCGTGTCTGCTTTGCTCACCGTTGCAGTCTCTGCACCCAGCACAGGACCTGTGAAATGGTTGCTCGCACCATTTGCAGAATGGAAGATGTAAGTGAGAGTGAAGAAGCCAGCGGAGAGGGGCTGCCAGGACAACCTGACCCTTGTTTACCTCTTAAGCCTCATCTCTCTCCTTCACCACCACTTACCCTTGACCTGGCAGCCCTCCTGAGCTCCTTGAAGGTCCCTCCCTGTACAGCCTGGGTCTTGTCCACTTCTTCCAGAAGCCGCCTCTTTTCCTGTCCGAATGAGATGGTCCCTCTGTGCCCCAAGTACCACACGCCTAGCCCATTTCCTGGGGAGCACACATCCCACGACACTAGCATTGCCTGTTTGCATGTCAGTTGTTCTCTCTTGATGCTAAGTTCCACAAAGCGGGCTCTGTGTTTTATGCATCACTGCATTTCCAGCACTTAGCACAAGTAGGTGCTCCTTGAATATTTGTTGACCAAAGGTCTAGAAACTCCTACTTTGGTGCCTAACTGCTTCCTGCCTCGTGTCTCTCCCCCAGCCCTCCACCCCCAATCCATCTGGCTTCTGGCACTGGTCACTCTGAGGTGCGCACCTGTATTGGGTGGCCAGTGACCAGGCCTCAGGGTCAGGCTTCCTGCGCAGCAAGGCGCCCAGGGCTGTGCAGGCTGGTGCTGACTGCTGTCTCCCTCCCCACCACAGGGGCCCTGGGGAAAGGGTGCCTTGCTCCTTCTCTGCCCTGCTCTCCCCATATGGGTGCCCTTCATTCTTTTCATCAAAGTAAGCAGCATGACTGCAAAGTGCTTTATGTCCCCTCCAGAAAGGCCACGAGCCAAAGGTTTGCTGTCTTCCTCACCATCACCTCCACTGTCTTCCTCATGATCATGGCCACCATCCTGCTTGCCCTTTCCCACATCCGAACAAAGCTGCAGAGTGTACACCATGTTCCTTCATTATCCCATTTTGACCATCACAGCTGCCATTATTCACTCTTACATTTAAGGACACAGAGGTTCAGAGAGGTCGAGGGCTAACCCAAGTCACACAGCCCGACTTGAGGTGGAGGGAGGGAGGATGGATTAGGAAATCTGCTCTGGAATCCCTCTTAGAAAGTGTCAACAAGGCACAAGTGGAGTCTGCGTGTGCACCTGCGTCAGTGTGTCTGTCCTGATTCTGTCTGTGTGCACCTGTATCCGTCTATGTCCTGAGTGTGCTGTCGTAGGTGTGGCTGTGTGGAGTTGTGCTGGGAGTGTCCTCAGGGCCGAGTGTGTGTGCATGTGGCCGGGTGCAGACACATGCGTGCACATGGATGCTCCACCCGCTTCTCAGATGTCTTGGCTGTGGGTTTGACAACTGAAACCCAGCTGCGCTCCGACCGGGAAACATCCGCTGTGGAAACCTGGGAGGAGCTGACAGTCCCTAAAGAGGGGTTACACATGCTGGCAGCAAGCACGCCTGGCCCACTGCCTAATTCCCTGCAAATGTTCTTTAAATCTGTTTCTAATTTGGACTCTGCCTTCCCCTGCCCCCACCCATCCCTTCCCACCCTCCCAACTCGCCTGAAACCAGTCACATTATGCTGAATAATGGCTGCAGAGGGGGGGAGAGTGCTAAAGGTCGTCGATGGGCTGTCAGAGGGTGTAATAATGTCACATTTTAATTTACACAGGGAACGGCGCACGAATCAAAACCAATAAATAATTCGGGCTGCACCAGCAGCTGCAGCCAACAGTAACTCCTACAGGTCATGCCACTTCCCGGGGAGAAATCACTAACTGTCACACTCCAAAATCCACTATGCTTGAGAAAACCCATGTGCGTAGGTACAGATGCAAAATACAGCATTTTCTCTCTGCAAGGGACCGTATTTGGAGACTTGCAGCATCAGCAAGAATCTCTCCAGTTGTCTGAGTATCACCCAGATGTTCTGGGTATTAAGATTCTAAACCAAAATATGCCTTCTGTATATTTTGCTGCTCTGTGAAAGACTCACCTCCAGGCTGACCCAGATGCATGGGAAAGTGTATACAAAGCAGGGCGAGGAGCGTGGAAAGCAGGACTGCATGTCCACATTGATGGCAGCTCTGAAAAGCCGACCTACATGCGGAGACAGGCGGGAGGGGCTTATGGGAGAAGTCTGTTGGAGCTTGTTCATGCTGAGAGGTTGGGGGTGTGATTTGAGGTACAGTTTTTTCAATAATTAATATGAAGCTATAAAGAAACATGCATTCTTTTGAAGGTAGGGGCCTTGCTCTACTGACCCCTTTTGGTCTCTTGTGGACTGATGAGTTAGGGTAAGGGAGCCCAAAAGTGGGGAGGTCCTGAGATGGTTCTCACCTGTGCGTTGTGGCTGGGTAACCTGGGAAGCCGGGAGGAGAACAAGCTGCAGGTTTTCACGGCATCTGGAGGCCTTTCCTGGGAGGCCCTGCCTGTGGTGTTCTGGTAAAAACCCGTTCCTTCCCCGGAGCCTCCTGAGCATCTGCAACTGGTATGTGCTCCAGGGGCTGCTGAGGGGGCCTGGTCTGCTGCCCACCTCTTAGCTGGCTCTGCAACTGCAGGAAGGAGGGGTCTGCACCCCACGGGGCCACTGCCTTGGAAGCTGTGAGGCTGTCAAGACTCTGGATCTGCAACTTCTCCATCTGGCTGGAAAGGAAGCAGGGGAAGAAGCTGCTGGGATGGAATGACACCCTAAGGATTTCACTCCCCTCTTCCTACCACACACCAGACCGGGCCACCAGGATGCCTGGGTAAGAAAGGGGGGGCCCACACTTGTACTGTGCACCAGAGCCTGTCTCCTATTTCATCCCTCAAGGCGCTTCCCATTCATGTCTTTTTCCATTTTCAAACCGTTGGCCATTTATTTAATCGTGCGTGATACTAAGGACGCTGCCTATGTCAAAAGCCTCATTTAACCCTCAGAACACACCTGCAGAGTAGAATAAACTATAAGAAACGAGAAGAAGGCTAGCTGTCCACTGCAAGGGCGTTCTTCTTCCTTTGTGGTTGAGTTCCTGCTAGGATAGAGCTGCTCATTCTCCCACCGCCTTAGAGTGAGGTCCAGTTCTAGGACTGGGTTCTGCTCAGTGGAGTGTGAGCAGTGGAGTGGGTTGCTCCACGCCAGAGCCTGCCCCTAGAAACCTCCCAGGAAGTAGTCTCCAAGCTCCAACCCTTCTGCCTGGATGGAACAGGGGCAACCCGCCATGACCTCGGAAGCTACAAACTTAAAATCCAGAGCATCTGTCGCCTTGGGGTTTCGAACGGCTGTGTGGAGAAAGACTGCCCAGACGGCATGTTCCCTGCCCTGTCCTGAGCAAGAACATGAACTTATGTCCTAGTGTTTCCCAGACGTTATGCTTTTTGGGATTTGTTTTAGCAGTGAACTTACCTCTCAGTAGTTGATTAGAAATTTTCATTCCTGTTGTAGAAATGAGGAAATCGAGACTCAGAGAGGGAGACTCATGCCCAAGGTCATATATTCAGTTAATAGTCGAGTCACGATGCCAGTCCAGGCCTTCCTGGCTCCAAAGTCATGCTCTGGTTATGTGAGTTTCCCCAAGTGTGTTCCACAGAACACTGTTAAAACCACCGCCACCACCACCACCCCACCCCCACAGCTCCTGTGCTCGAATAAGTTTGGGAAATGCCAACTTCAGGTCAACAGGTTTCTTCACCGCAGTCCTTTCCAGGGTGTCACCATGCTCATGAAACCTGTGAATTACCACCAGGGCATCTGACGTGAAGGATTTTCCAAATTTGTGAGGCTACAGCGCCCCTTCTCCACAGAGCTGCTTGTGAGACTGGCATGCTTAGAGCTCATCTTGGTAGAGGCTAAACTTCAATATGCTGCCGATATGGGTTGAACTGTGTTACTCTCTCAACCCCCAAAAGGATTCATTAAAGTCCTAACCCTCGGGACCTCGGCATGTGACCTAATTTGGATATAGGGTCTTAGCAGATTTAACCAAGTGAAAATGAGGTCCTTAGATGGGCCCTACTTCAATATGACTGGGGAAATATAAACACAGAGACAAGCAGACACAGAAGGAGGATGACATGGAGACACCCAGGGACACACAGCAGATATGCCATGGGAAGAGGGAGGGCTGGAGTAGTGCGTCTGTAAACCAAGGAATGCCAGAGATTGCCAGCAAACCCCAGAAACCAGAAGAGGCAAGGAAGGATTCTCTGTCAGAGCTTTCCCAGGGAGCACGGCCCTGCCAACACCTTGACTTTGGTCTTCTAACCTCCAACACTGTGAGAGCACACGTGTCTGTTGTTTAAGCCACCCAGTTCATGGTAGTTTGTTATGGCACCCCTGGGAAATGCATACACAGCCTCTGGCTCTTTTCAAAACCAGAAACCAAAGCTTCTGGGCAATGTTATCTTACCGATAATCATCCAAATGACAAACTGTGGTGGCTTCAGTTTACTGACAAACAGGTGAAGGAAAAGAGAATCTGGAGGGACAAGGGGTAGCAGCACAGCATAGTTCAGGCCTTCAGCTTTGGCGCCATGCAGCCTGCTCTGCACCCGGCTTTTGTTGCATCCTGGGGCGCAGTCCTCCACCGCTCTGAGCACAGTTGCCTTTTCTATAAGGGTAGGGCTGACACTCACCTCGTAAGTTGAGGGGAGGGTTAAACAAATTCACATACCCTAAATGTTTGGTCTAGTACCTGGAAGATACCCAGTATCTGTTCTTTTGAAATTGCACAAGCAGGATTGCAGACCTGCGCTTGAATCCAAACTCTGCTATTTACCAACAGTGTTGCTGTGGGCAGTTTGCTCAATCTTTCAAAGTCTGGATTTCACCATCGATACAAAGAGAAAATAATGCCTGTTGTTAAAAAATGGTTTTAAAACAAGTTAAAAATCATGATTCTACAATAGATAAAAATGAGCACGTTATTATTGTGAACGAGTGAGCCAGTGATGTTACAACTGATTCAAAGAAGAATCCAAAGAACAGATGTGTTTATGGTTATGGAATGTGGATTTTCAAGTGGTCGCAATGATCTAGCTTTTGCCCCGTGTAGGAGGGTGGATGGAGCTCCTTTGTGGGTCCACAATCCAGGGTCACTGTGTGTCCTCTGTTCCTTAAAACTTACAGAGCAGTAAATTAGCCCAAAGGCTGGACTCAGATAATCCAGAGGGTCTGCTCTCAACAATAAATAGTTTTCTCTTGGAGGAACCCTGTAATCTTTGCTTATTTCAGATTTCCTTAGAGTCTCATGTATTTATATGCCTAAGATTGGGAAAAGATGCATACATGGAAAAAGCACGTTGCTGAATCAGGTATAATCTCACTTTTATAAAAACAAACAAACTGTGTATGCGTATACATATGCACACACGAATGGGTGTGTATATATAATGATTAAATATACACAAGTGTCAGGAAGAATACACAAGGATTGTAAACAATGGCTACCTCTGGGGGGCAGGTCTGGTGACGGTGGTGGTGGAGGGAGACTTTCATGACGTATTTTCTAAACTTCTGTGTTGTTTGAATAAAAACAAATACCTACTTCACTGTATATTGTGAATAAGGAATGTCTGAGTGAGAAAAGCATTGTGCTTCACGCAATGGGTAGCATTCAACAAATCACAGGTTTCATCATTGTTATTATTTATCACAGGTTTCATCATTGGCTCCTCCCAATTTCCTCCTACTCCTTCTTGCATTCTTCCTCCCAAGCCTAAGCCTATTCCTGGGAAGAAATTACAGCAAAGAACAATGCTGCTTCGCCGAACTTCTCCCCTTTGTAGGACGGTGGTGCGGGCAGTTTTGGCTCTGGAGACTGGAGGGAGACCTCCATCTGAGCTACATGGGTGACTCTGTCACTATTTTATTTCCTCCCAGCCCCCACCAGCAGCCCTATGCTCAGGCCCACCCAATGTTCAGCTGCGACAAACTCCTCGAAGCCACGGGAGAGGTCTGGCTGGGACCAAACCCTAGGGCGAAGGGTTGCCTAGGCCCGTGCCATCCTCTTGCCGAGACTGGGACTAAGGGCACCCATTGGCTCCATTTGAGTCTGGTTACCATCCCTACCCAGGAGGTGGTGCAGTCTAACAGGCAAGACAAAATAAAGTTTTGATCACACAAAGCTAAAGATCTAATCTCAGCCTCAGCTCATCCCCTAAAGGGTGGCATTAGTTCTCAAAGGGCTTGGGATGGGTCAGGGCCTAACCACAGTGCAGGTTGGCCACTAACCAGCTGCATGTCCATGGACTGTGTCTCAGTTCCCTATCTCTGCCTAATGAGAGTAAGAAGAAGGTTTACCTCCAAGGGCTATCATAGAGCTCAGCGAGTGATGTCTGTGAGCTGTGGGGTGCTGTAGAGATTTAATTTTAGTTGATGCAATAAGGTACTTCAGAGTGCTTAATATGCTTTAATAGCAAATGTTGTTTATATAGCACGTACAATGACATGCAAGGAGTCCTGTTATATCGATTACATATATATAGTCATTCAATATTTAGTAGCCTGTGAGAATGCATTGTTATCCGATCCCCATTTTACCAAATGAAAAATAGAGAGGCAAAGAGAGCTAAACAACTTTCCCCAAACCTTCCTTGGCAACAGTCCCTGAACAGCATCGTTCCTGAGGACCCGTCTCTCAAACCCAGACTTTGTTGAGTTTTCTTTTCTTTTCTTTTTTTCTTTTCTGTCCTTCCATTATCAGATATTCCAATTGCATGAGAGTGAAAAGAATGTTAGAATACATTTCTAGGAATTCCGATTACCTAGCTTTATTAATTACCAGCTCTCATAGCCGCCATCTTCCCTTCACCTGAATTACTCTACAGCAAATCCCAGACATCGTATGTACATACACTTTATTTTCTATTTGTTACTTGTTTTTGAATGCACCCCAGCTGGAATGCAGTGACACCATCATAGCTCACCACAGCCTCAAGCTCCTGAGCTCAAGCGACCCTCCACCTCAGTCTCCTAGTAGCTGGGACTATAGGCATGTGCCATCATGCCGGATAACTTACAATCTTTTGTAGAGAGGAAGTCTTGCTATGTTGCCCAGGCTGGTCTTGAACTTCTGGCCTCAAGCAATTCTCCTATCTTGGCTTCCCAAAGTGCTAGGATTATAGGTATGGGCCACTATGCCCAGCCTTTATTCTTTATTTCCATAAGTTAGAGAGTCTCCAGAAAACATATGCATAAGATCA